CACATCACACTATCACATCACACTATCACATCTATCAGGTGTCCCGTAAACAGATTCCTCCACCTGAGCTGTAGATTTGTGAGTCTCCTCTAGTGTGACCAGGGGCCCTTTTGGCTGCTTATTTAACAAATGTAAACACAGGAAAAGGTGGTCCTACAGTTTTCTCTTGAGAGTATAAATACAAAATATATTTAATAAATAATAAAAACAACTTAAAAACTACTTTTATCCTGGATCCTTCCAATTCTCTGTTTAACACTGCGTTGTATAAAACAGGTTTATGATGACAAATGTGAAAAGGTTTTTTTTTTTGCAATACAGCATCAATTAAATGCAAATTCTGTCCAACTCATGAAGAAAAAATCCTTTAAAACTATATTTTACTCCTGCTGCAGTTGTTGATATCAGCCAGTAGATGGCAGTAGTGTTGTATCATTTTGTGTGATCATTTCTCAGCTCTTTAACTTTACTCCTCTGACTGTCAAAAAGAATAACAGTTTGATGGGTTGTGACTTTTCTTGATTTATTGATGCAGAGGACTATCTTCGCTATGCTCATGGTCTGATATCGGAGTACATCAGTGAAGAACTAAGCAAAGTCCTCCTTAAACATTTGGGGTAAGATATTCAAAATATATAACACATTAGTTGCACTTGTTTTGGTGACTTTGCAGGTAAAACTCTCCTCTTTCTGAACGCCACAGATTAACAGAGCTGAAAAGTCCAAATGAAACAGAACCTCCCTCAAAGGTTTGTGGTCTCATTGATTTTCTCAGCTTTTTTTTCTTGCATGCCGCTAAAGCCTCCATGCACTTTCTTGGAATCTTCCAATTCACTTTGTTTTTTCACGCATAATAGAGGAAGTAACCTCAATCACCACTGGTGTGATTCAGGGTCCCGTTTTGGGGACTGTAGGGTGATGCCGGCAGGGATGGGGTCTCTGTTTAATGCTTCTTGTCATGAAAAGCATCTGTTACTTCCTCGTTTGGCAGAAGCGGAAACTTTCAGACAAGCCAGTGGAGGCTGGAGAAGACTACACCAAATTCAACAGTGCAGACTTTGCACGGAAAGTGAGTGCACACAGATTAGAGAACCTCCTCAGTGGAACGTGGAGCTTCAAACATCATTTATGTAATTTATGTGAATAGAGCAGCCTTCTCTATATTTCTGTATCATACTTCTACTCTTTCAGAACCTCCAGTCGTGTAAATTTGCTTCTCTGCTATCTTTAAGCTTTGTGTGTAGAGCTATGTGGTTACAACAGTTTAGTTTATCAGAATTGTCAAAATGATTCAGATTTCCCAATTGGTTCAAGGCAAAAGTAATTGATTTTTTTTGTGCTATTTTTCCCTCTTTGTTTGTTTTCTTGCTTTATTTCAGCCACCTAAGAAGATGACAACCGCTCAGAAAACTTTGGCTAAAGTGGACAAGACTGGCATGAAGCCGATGTCTTCTTTCTTTAGCCCGAAGACCAAAGCTGAAAAAAAGTGAATATCTTGTGCTTTTGGTTTGATCAGACTCGCATTTTGTAATAAAGAGAAAGAAATGTGTCCAACCAGTTTTTCTTTTTCTTTTTAATTGTGTGAATGGCAACAGATTACAAGGGTAAGATTTCTTTTTCTGGTAATAGATAAAATAAATTGAATAAACCTCCTATTGCTGTTAATTTTTTGTTTTTTGTTTTTTAATGACTTCAGTAGGATATTTTTTCTTTACTTTGGTTTCCAAATTCTTAAAAAGGGTTGTATCAGGATAATTTTCCAGGTCTTTATAAGCATCATAAAGGAAATTAGCTTTTTTCCCCCTTACTAATATGTCACAAAAATATATTTTTTCCCCCTTTTTTTAAGCCTATCCATTCTTGAATAAGCTAACTTATATGAAAGATAAACTTGAGTACATTTGAAACAAGTTTTTTAATGATTGCATTTATTAATCAGAACAAAGTTTAACGGTCAGGTTTACCAACAGCTTTCCATCACTCATCATTACAATACTCTATACAAAATCACTCATAAAGGGCATAAAACAGTATTTACAAGTGCATTTTTTGTAAATTAATGATGGCAGCTTATAATAATGAGAAGGCTTTAATTTGATTTATATATGTTTACAGCTGAGGGTGATGAGGGTGTTAAGTTCAACAGAATAAAACAGCCTGTTTGTCTGTTAGTGTAACATTCTGTAGCACCGAAAGTAAAAGCTTGAAGAGCCTCTAAATAGGATGTGTGGGATCACAAGAAAAGACCTTTTTAGATCGTTTTTCTGGCTCTAGACTTGTAAAGGTTTTTGTCACCATTGAGTTTTACTTAATGCTGTGGTTTGGATCATTTTTACAGCTATCTACAGCAGGGGTTAAGCAAATGCATGGTTTGGTTAATTACTGAAATCATCCATGTCCTGAAGCAACAAAGCTGCCCCAGATTAGCATAATACTACCAACATCTAACCATTGATGGAGTCTGTCTCTGTAAAGCCGCAACTTTACAGAGAGCGGCTCTATAAAGCGGCTCTGTAAACTTTCAATTCAAATATCTTTAATCAAAATATTTTTTCAGGGGGCGACCTTTTTTTGATTTTAGGTCAGCATGGTTTATGGTCTGCGGGTCATTTTTACCCTTTTGAAGTTATTTACAAATAAGTACTTACGTTAAATAAAAAGTGAATAATTTCTAACCCTTTCAACACTCTTGAGTTTGTTAATCTTCTGTACTAAAGTTTCATGAGTCTGTTTCATTTTAAGATGTTTAAGCCTACTTCATCCTGTCATGCAGGTTCTATTTTATTATTTAAATTCTGAAGGTTTGCACTTTATTAGTCCTGAGTAGGGAAATCATATTCAGTCATCCCAAGAAAGCCTAGTTAATCACACTTAAATCATCGTTTAATAAGAAGGAAACTCTTTCACAGCTCTTTATATCTAGTATATATGATGGAAAAAGACAGAGCTCTAGATAAGTTTAGGTTTTGAAAAACTTCTTTGTTTTTATCATAAATCTCAACAACAGGCATAGAGGAAGTAATAAAAAAACAAAAACAGCAAAGTCAATAACTGGATACCGTTTAAGCTTTTCACCTTCCTTGCACAAGGCCAGTTTACTTTTAGCATGGATTATTTCGCTGACGCTGGGCTGGTTTGAAGCTTTTCTCACAGCCAGGGGGCCTTGAACTCGGCCTCGCCGATTCCACCTCTGAAACGAAACATTAATTAATGTAGCAGTCTCTGACTTTCAGCTTGAAAGGAGACATTGTTGCTTTTCAAATATTGCCTTTGAAGCCTCAAAGAAGTGGAAAAAAACAACCAACCTCTCAGGTCTGGACTTTACAGTGTATTCAGCCAAAATTCCACATCCAGATTTGAACCTTTTTATTTTGCTTAGATCAGTTCAAAAGGCGTTTTGAAAGACATTTTCTTAACCAATTGAATAAAGGGATCTGGAGAAGTAAATGAACTTTTAGGGATTAAACATTAGACCATTGCACAACTATACAATTCATTTTAACGCTGTACAATAAATTTAATATTACAGCAAGAAGATAGATAAACTGTTGTAAAAACATTCATTTAGGAATATATATAAGAAATGTCTTCATTATCAGGTTATGTTAAGCATGGCGTCCAATTAATCTGTTAATTCGGCAACTTTTAAAACAATTTGGAGCCATTTTTTGCCTGTAGAAATAGGTTGACTGGTCTTTAATAAATACAGTAATTGTTCTTATCTGACAGCACCTTACATAAGTATTCAACCCCTGGAGTGCTTTTTCTTTTAATTTATTGCATTAGAACCAAAATCCTAAGTTTATTTAATCTAGATTTTTGCTAAAGGATCAGATACAAATGTGCAAAGTTGGCTTTGCATTTGTTTGAATCACATTGGGTAAATTCTTTGCAGAAACACTTTTTATCCAAATTCTAATCTTTTGGGAGATGTCTCAGGGAACTTTGCACATAAGGACATTTAAAGTAATTTTTGCCCACTTTTGACTGAGGCGCCTTCATATCTGATAAAGAACATTTGCACGCATCAGTTTTCAAAATGTATTTTAAGAACATTCAACTGCTGCCCCTTAAGCTTACTGTCCGACCTGAAGGGGAACCTAAACCACATCCTGGACAAACAATTTGAACGTTTTTGAAGCTAAAACAAGGCTTTGTGTTTGGTCCACTCTATAAAACCTCGAACTCAATGCTATTTCTGACATTTTGGATTGAAAAAACTTCCTGGATGGAAAGTGAAACGTCTTCATTCATATGACCTGGATGACTGAGAATCTTCACCGACACATCCTTAATTTTTTTCCTGGAGCTTAAATTCGTTTTTGTTTTTCAGTATTTCCATCTATTTACTTTCATTACCTCACCATTTGCTCTGACTTCTCATTCCTTCTCTGTGGAATAAATGCACCTCTCCTCCACTATGCTTCTACCAACATTTTATTTTTATAGTGCATGTATAGTTTGGATTTTAGTTTTGATCTAATTTGAGAAGAACACCCTCTTCCACAGGATTAATATGCCTCATAAATTGCTTTTAGAAAACTGAACATAGACATTTTCTTACTTCTTGCAGCTTTTTCATAAAGACCAGATTTGTGGAGTGTGCAAGATTGTTAGTTATCTTTAACAGTTTATTGGGTATTAGCTGTTAATCTAAAGCTCCTCCAGAGCTACAATGTCCTTCGCTATTTATTCGCTCTTTTGGCCCAGCCTGGCTGTTTAGGTGGACAGTCATGTCCCGGTATTTTTAGTTTCCATGCTCAAAGATTTGGATATTGTTTAGTACCGTAACCCTGCTTTAAACCATTCTACATCCATGACCTGTATGCTGTGTTCCTCAGTCTTCATGATGGTGTTCTTTTGGCTAAAAAGCCAAAGAGGCTTTTATAGAACAATTGGATTTGTTCTATATTTATTTATACACAGGTCAGAAGTTTTTCTTATGTTTCCTCTGATGGAGGTTGTTTTCTTTGGATGTGATGTGATGGCAAAGGAAGGTAAAATATTGGCTTTTGATATTTTATTTTTTTGTAAAAATCTTTATGTTGATCTAATTTATAGAATCTAAATGAAATATGTAGAATTTTGTAGTTGCAGTGTGACAAAATGTCAAAAAGTTCAAAGAAAACTTGTGAGCCACTGTACACCCCGCAAGACCAACTTCAGAGAACACTGCCTGTGGAAACATTTTAGGCTGAGCTCTGTCGGCGTCATGGCAGTGCTTAAGGTTTCAAATGTCCATTCAAGCCTCAATGCTTTTTTAATTTGGGCTTGAAGCGCAGGGTCTGGAATGCACTCTCCACCACTTTGGGGAGGTGGATCGGGTTCCTCTGAAGTTGTAGTCTGCTGCTTGTGGAACCAGCCTGCTGCTTCTTCTTCTTCTTCGTCTTTGAGGTGCTTTCGTTGGCACATTTAAGAACCGCTCTCTCTTCAGAGTCGTCTGAGACCCGGGGAACCCTCAGCACCCAGTTGGAGTGCAGGTCATGCTCAGCTGAGCTGGAGGCCACTAAGGCAGGACAACAGAGATGGAAAGCATGAGATGAGACTGACACAATTTCATAGTTTACACTTTTGAAACCATAGGGCGCAAATATAATTAGAGGCCAATAAAGTTGTTAAATTATAAGTTAACAACATACAGTTCTCACTACATTTATTAGCATTAGTAAATCTAGCGGCTAATATCTTATATTTTAGGCTACTGGTTCCTTTCTCTGGGCTGCTCAGGGGAGCAGTGGGTAGCACTGCTGCTATGCAGCGGGAAGGTTGCAGGTTCAATTCCCAGCCCAGGGAGTGTGCATGTTCTCCCTGAGCATGCGTGGGTTCTCTCCGGGTACTCCGGCTTCCTCCCACAGTCCAAAAATATGATGATTACAGTAGGTTGACTTCTCTAGTTCCTCCTTAGGTGTGAGTGTATATGTGAATGGTTATTTGTCTCTGTGTTGCCCTGCAAGGACTGGCAACCTGTCCAGGTTGTACCCCACCTCTCACCTGTGGATAGCTGGAGTTGGCACCAGCACCCCTTGCAACCCCGCTTGCATGTAAGAAAATGGATAGATGGTTTCTTACAGGTCTTCTTTAAAGTTATGCTTAAAGCCATTTGTTTTCCTATCTCCATTGTCTTTCCATTTCCAATTAGAAGAAAATAAACCAACATAACTTCTAACTAAATAGAAACAGATTAGAAAATAGAAAACTGTTTGCCTCTTCTCATTTAGCAACGCCTGAACAGAATGACTTTTGACCTTAAATAACCCCTACCCCCTGCCAACATCCTCAAAGCACAAAATGATATACATCCACTGAGGAGATAAATACAGAAAAAAAGGTAAATGGCTCCTACATTAATAAACTTTAGCTCTTTAATGGCAGTTTTGGATTCTGAGGAACCTCCTCAACAGACTGGATCCATCAGATCCACTGGATCCATCAGAACTGGTGCAACAAGACAATCTTTTATGTAACATTTTTGAAAAATGTAACCTAATTTGAGTTCTGATTTGATTTTTTTAGGGGATTATTGTTCTCCCAAATAAACATATACAAAT